AATTCAATCATTTATCTTTAATGGCATATTTTCTGGAATTTAAAGTGCTTCATGAAACACATTGAGCAAAGCATTAAAACGTAGTAGAAGAAAAACTAAGTTACATTTAAAAAGTCAAGAAAATGTTTATTTCAATAAAAACAAGCTGAAATGGAATGAAACCGTTAAAATGAAGACCGACTGTTTAAGTGTTTGGTACAGGACACGTCTAAAAGGAGGGCCAATCAACTACATACATCGCTCAAAGCTGTAATAAAATGTTCTAATTAGGGCTGTCAAACGATTACAAATTTTAATCAGATTAATCAAAGCTTAAAAATTAATTAATCATGATTAATCAACATTCGAACTATGTCCAAAATATGCCATTTCTTTATGTATATTGTTGTGGGAATGGAAAGATAAATGAAAGAAGGCGGATATATCCATTTAACATGTAGGCCTATGTTTATTATAACATTGTTCTGTGTGTCAAAATGAAAGACAGCCCACACACCTATCAATCATCAAACCGTGGGGTCTTATTTCATGTTGATTTCTATCAACACGTAATGTTGTATCGATGTATATAGAGATGTACTACAGCAAAATTATTCTCCGTAGACAAGTGGCTACTGAAATCAATCTTACTAACTGCTGTCTGTGCAATTTACTCCGCGCGAGTTGGCGGACTTTATTTTGCTTACTTTAGTTTAACATCATTTTTCATGGTGGGGCTAAGCCATTTCTTGGTATGGGTGTAGCCTATCCCAACCATACCCTGGCGCCGCCACTGACCGCAAATACCTCATTCCTTCCGTCTACTTGGATCCGAAATGCTTCTCGTTTTTGCGCGTGTCCCCCCGTTCAAATGAAATCGCCGCCAATCATATTTCCACGCTCGCGCCAGGGCCGGGGGGGGTTACAAGGCTCGCGTCTTGTGCTGCATTCACTTGCACTCGGACATTAGAGATTTTCTCTCATAAGTGTCCGATGAGCCACAATTTTTTTTTCAAAACCAAGCTGCCATCTGAGGTGGCAGCTGCGATCTGAGGTGGCAGCTGCCACCCCGTGCCATCACGTAGAACCGCCACTGCATAGCTGTTACTCAAACATATTCAATATAAACACATATAGCTATAAAGTCACACTTTCTATCAACATAAACACCTTTAACAAAACTAACTTAGTATATTAATTAACATTTCAAAATGACATCTGTAACCTAACTGTTTATAAAGTGTTTATCAAAGACCCATTTCTTAGATATGTAATCTATATATTAAGAAATAAAATCATCTGTTGAGTTCTTCCAAACAATAATTTGACTGTTGAGCTAAATAAATTAAAGTAGACACAAAAATAATTGTACATTGCGGGGGTGTACCACACTATATACACTGTTTTTATT